TGCTTGCATGTGATATTAGTGATATTGTTTGATACTTTACACACTGTTGGATCACTTTTTTTTTGCTATGGAATAAATTGTGGATCTTTTGTAGTCAGTTGGCTAGGTAGTTGTCCCTGAGATTTCTTGGCACCACCTGGTGAGCGCTTTCAGGGCTGCATCTGTTTGTTGAAATATGCCAACTGGTATTCCATCATTTCCTGGGGCTTTGATTTTTCCCAACTCCTTCAGAGCAGTTTGGACTTCTTCCTTCATCACCATTGCCTCTTGAATATAAGTTGTTTCATGAAATACTTCTGTGGCTGCCAGTTCTTTTTGGTACAGTGACTCTGTACTTTTTCCATCTTCTTTTGGTGCTTCCTAGATCATTCAATATTCTGCCCAAAACATCCTTACATATTGAAACTTGAAGCACACATTTGTTCTTTAGTTTCTTCAGTTAAGAAATGCCAAGTTAGTACAACCTTTTTGAATTTTCTGACTCTAGCTCTTTGTGCATTTCATTATAATACTTTGCTTTGTGTTCCTGAGCTGCCTTTTAAAATCTTCTGTTCAGCTCCTTAACTTCCTGATTTCTTCCCTTTGCTTTGAAGTCTAGGTGCTCTAGTGCAATATTCAGAGTCTCTTCCAACATCTATCTCGATCTTTTCTTCATCCTTTGTCTTTTTAATAACCTTTTTAATTTTTCATGGATAATATCAAAGCCTCAAATCTGTTCCTAAGGTGTTTTTTTTAATTCATGTGGGATAGACTCAAGGTCAAATTTTGATTCTTGTGGATTTGATTTCATTTCTTTAGCTTCACTTTGAACTTGCGAAGGAGTAGTTAGTGGTCTGTTCCACAGTCAGCACCTTGCCTAGTTTTCACAGCTAATAGTGAGCTTCTCCAATGATTCTTCCTACAGATGTAGTCAGTCTGATTCCTGTGTAGACCATCAGGTGAGGTCCATGTATATAGTAACTGTTTTCTTCTTATAAAAGGTATTTACAATGAATAAACCATTGAGTGTACAAAATTCTATCTTTTTATCCCCAGCCTCATTTCTGTCACCATGCCCAAGTTTTCTCACTACTGATCCTTCTCCATTCCCAACTTTTGCTTTCCAGTCACTCATTATTAGTGCATCCTGGTTGCATGTTTGATCAGTTTCTGGCTGCAAAAGTTGATAGAGATCATCTCTTTCCTCCTCTTTGGCTGTGGTTGTTGGTGTATACATTTGAATGATGGTGGTATTGACAGTTCTTCCTTGTAGCATGTGGATATTATCCTGTCCCTCACAACATTGTATTTCAAGATGGATCTGGAAATGGTCTTTTTAACTATGAATGCAGCCCTGTTTTGTCGTTACGTGCTGTCAAGCCGACTATGACTCATAGCAACCCTATGGGTAATAGGTAGAAGGACAACAGGTGAGAGACTTTGTCCTGTCCTGTGTCATTCTCCCAATTTCTTCCATGTTTAAATCATTGTTGTAATCACTGTGTCAATCCATCTCATTTAGGTTCTTCCTTTCTCTTGGTGATGCTCTACTTTTCTAAGTGTGATGTCCGTTTCCAAGCACTAGACCCTACTGACAAACATGGCTGAAGAATGTGAGAAAAAATTTAACCTTCCTTCCCTCTAAGGAGCACCTTGGTTGCATTTCCTCTGAGACAGATTTGTTTGTTCTTTTGGAAGTCTGTGGGATATTCAGTGCTCTTCACCAGCATCGTAATTCAAAGGCATCAATTTTTCTTTGTTGTTATTTCGTGCCGCTGAGTTGCCTGCTACCCATAGCGACTCTATGTACAGCAGCTCTGAAGCCTGCCCTGTCCTGAGCCAGTCTGACGGATACACTGGCCCCCGTAGCTTGTATCAGGTGCACTTTAGTCTTTAAAGTGCCATCTCTGCTTTAGCAATTCAGTCTCTTATATAGAAGACTTTAGTTTAGCACTTTGAAAGTCTCCTGTATGGAAGGTGAGCATTTTACATGGAGCTACCACTGCTGTCGTAAAAGGGTCCTACGCAGCCTCCTAGGTTCCTAAGTGGTACAAGTGATTTGCACTCAGCTACTAATTGGTAGTTCAGATCCAGCCAGTGGTGCCGTTGATTAAACCTTATGGAGTGTAGTGTTACTCACAACACACAAAGTCACCATGACTGGAATAAATGGACCAACAATGAGCTTTTTAAACATAGCTTCTAAAATCAAGCCAGCTGTAATTCTATATTATTGTTGTTGTTGTTATTGTTAGGTGCTGTCGAGTTGTAGACAACTCATAGTGACCCTGTGAACAAAAAGACTGAACACTGTTCATACATAGAGTTTCCAGAGGCAAGCCATTTCAGAAGTGGATGCCACTCCTGCTTCCAGCCTTTCTGATTTAGTTTTAGTCGGGAAGCTCCAGCAAACATTGTCCACCATGGGTAACCACATTTGGCACATCAGTGTCACAGTGTTCAGCATCACACCAACCACGAGTTACCTCTGTACAGCAATCCACAGACCAGTGCTATACCACCTAGAAGAATGTTTGACAGGAAAACAATTTGAACCTGGCCTGAGGGCTGCAGATTAAAATCACCCACCTTTGGCTTGGTAGCATAACTTTCTGTCCGCTAGGCCAACATAGCTCTCTCTATGTCGTTGTCATTATTGTTGTTAGGGCCGTTGAGTTGTAGACGACTCATAGTGACCCTATGAATGAAAGGCCTGAGCACTGTTCCTACATAGAGTTTCTGGAGGCAAGCCATTTTGGAAGTGGATGCCATTCCTGCATCCAGGCTTATTTTAGTCGGGAAGCTCCAGCAAACACTGTCCACCATGGGTATCCATTACCACGTTTGACTATAATTAAGTCGTAAGATGGCTTTCGTAAGACTATTGTCTTAAGAAGCTTCCTTGGTGGCTACATTTATAAAAAATAATCACTAAAAACCTACTACAAACTTCTTAGGCTACCTTGGTAAACAGAATGCCAAGTCCCTGATCTTATGCCATACATCGTTTAATGAATGAGCTCGCGATTAAATGTATCATTCCACATGCAAACATGTGATTTCAAAATTGCAAAAGTTCCATGAAGGAAGATTTAAGGGTGTGGAAAGAGGGACAAAGAAACGGAGTTGTTCCATTTTTAGAGGTGAGGGAAAGTTTTCCCAAGAAAATTTCAGTTAAGCTGAGAACTGAAAGCATGGAGTATAAGAAGGAACACCCATTTCAGATATAGCTAATGGCACACACACATCCTGGGGCAGAATGTTATTTGATGTAAACCAGGAGCTGAAATGAAAGTCAATGCTGCTGGCATATGGTAAGAAAGAGAGTGGCAGTAGTTGAAGGGGCTGGTTCATGCGAAGTGTTAGTCATGACAGGAAATCTCATCCTCATATTACTACTAAGAGAAAACAGTGGAAGGGCTTCAAATCAGAAAGTGATACAGGTTGTGTGTGTGTGTATTTAATATGATTGAGGAGTTTTCCCTAGACAGCTAACTTAAAATTTGGTAGTTTGAACCCATGCAGTGATGCTATCTATATAAGAGAGCCCTAATGACTTGCTTCCATAAAGGTCACATCATAGAAAGCACTATAGGGTAGTTCTACTCTTAACACATGGTGCCATCATGAGTTAGAATCTGACTTGATGGCCGTGAAATAGTTCTTTCTTTTGGTGGCTACAAATGGAAAACATAGTAGAAGGTTGGAAGCTACCACAATCAGTTCCTCAAGTGAGGAATAATGGTGCCTTGAACTACGATGATGTTGGTAGAGTTTGTAGGCTTTAGAACTGGATTAGATGAGGGACAGCAGGGAAAGGGGAGTCTGCAGAGTAACACTCATTTTATAGCCAGAATAGCTAATTGGATGGAGGTGGTATTATCTGAGATGGGGGATGGTAGAGAAGAAGCAGATCCAGAGGTCAAGGATTGAATCCTTTAAGGAGCTGTGTCAGAATGGCTTTGTTAAAATAAAAATACCCCTTACATGATTGAACGAGAGAGAAGAAAAACAGGCAAGCTGACTTGCTTTAGCTCTTGTATGGCTGTGTGCCACCTTTTCCCTGTTTGAAGATGCATCAGTAGTTTCAGCTGAGTTGCTTCCTGTTCTTCTGAACTCATGCTCACCTTTACATGGTTTAAAACCAGCAGGTGAGGCCACTTTTTTTTTTTATCCCCAAATCTTGTCTACAGTGAAAATAAAAAAAATTTAAAAATGTATTTGTAGAGCCACTTACATGTTTTATTAGTAGTAATTTCTACAAGAAGCCCATTCATTATTGGGATTTGGAATTTGAGTGGTTGGTTGATCATCCTTCTGCCAAATGCCTGCCTGAATTGTTTCATAAGCATGCTCTAGGAGGGTTGAAGGAGGCTGTGGTCTGGGAGTTGGGCCGTCTATTTGGTCTCAGTTCAGGTCCAGTGCCTTCACAATGGTGTCAAAGCACTTGACTCTCCTGGCAATTTCAGAGTTATAGCTTTCCTTATGATTTGGAGAAGGGTTTCTTGGCCCCCTGTTGATTCAGGTCCACATACAGCACCACGCTTTATTTTTGGGACTAGCTTGGGATGTAATTCCATTCACTATGCATTTTTGACCATCTATGTTATGCACCTATCTTGAGTCTAATGACAGTGGGAAAAGGAAGTCTGAAAACCCTAGAAACTGTGTAAGAGGGGTCAAAAGTCCAGTTTGTCTTCAGCCAATTTTAAGTTGATTCTTGAGAACGCCCAGCAATGGTGGAATTGGGAGCGAGGACTAGAAGGGTATTGCCTACATTTCCATGAGTGATATTCCCAGCTATTTTCAGCTACTCGGCAACTCAGTCTCCACCAGATGGTCTTGAGGACAGAGCAGCTATTTTGTGCCTCCCTTTGACATGTATTTTTCCAAGTGAGAGACTGCCCCATATGTTAGTGCAATATGTCACTCGAGGTGAAGCATCAGTTTGTCCTGGTGGGAACGTGCCATTTGCTGTCCCCCTGCCTCATGCCTCTTACTGCCTTTCTGGTCTCTTCTAGGTCTCTGGCCTGTCGGGAGGACCTCTGGTGCTGTGGTGGAAGCCAGCGGCTAAGTCTCGTGTATGGCGTGGTTACGGCTGCAGCCTCTCACCTCTGCCTTCCTCCATTTCGGCCTGGTTACTTTTGTCCTTTTCTTGAACGGTCTTCGAGCAGAGTCTGGTGGCGCAGGGGACGTGCCCAGTACGGGGCAGAACAATGAGTCTTGTTCAGGGTCATCAGACTGCAAGGAGGGTGTTATTTTGCCAATCTGGTACCCAGAGAACCCTTCCCTTGGGGACAAGATTGCCAGGGTCATTGTCTATTTTGTGGCCCTGATATACATGTTCCTTGGGGTGTCGATCATTGCCGATCGCTTCATGGCATCTATTGAAGTCATTACTTCTCAAGAAAGGGAGGTAACTATCAAAAAGCCCAATGGGGAAACCAGCACAACCACGATTCGGGTCTGGAATGAGACTGTCTCCAACCTGACCCTAATGGCCCTGGGTTCCTCTGCTCCCGAGATCCTCCTGTCTTTGATTGAAGTGTGCGGCCATGGGTTCATCGCTGGTGATCTGGGCCCTTCCACCATTGTCGGCAGTGCAGCCTTCAACATGTTCATCATCATCGGCATCTGTGTCTATGTGATCCCCGACGGAGAGACTCGAAAGATCAAGCACCCCCGAGTCTTCTTCGTCACCGCCGCGTGGAGCATCTTTGCCTACATCTGGCTGTATATGATCCTGGCAGTTTTCTCCCCTGGCGTGGTCCAGGTTTGGGAAGGCCTCCTCACTCTCTTCTTCTTTCCCGTGTGTGTCTGTCTTGCCTGGATCGCAGACAGGCGACTGCTGTTCTACAAGTACATGCATAAAAAATACCGCACAGATAAACACCGAGGAATTATCATAGAGACAGAGGGGGACCACCCCAAGGGAATCGAGATGGATGGGAAAATGATGAATTCTCACTTCCTCGACGGAAACCTGCTACCTCCAGAAGTGAAGGAGGTTGATGAATCCCGCAAGGAGATGATACGGATCCTCAAGGACCTGAAGCAGAAACACCCGGAGAAGGACTTAGATCAGCTGGTGGAGATGGCCAATTATTATGCCCTCTCCCATCAGCAGAAGAGCCGCGCCTTCTACCGGATCCAGGCCACTCGGATGATGACCGGTGCGGGTAACATCCTAAAGAAACATGTAGCCGAACAATCCAAGAAGGCCACTAACATAGGGGAGTTGCATGCCAGTGAGCCCGAGGACTTTGTCTGCAAGATCTTCTTTGATCCATGCTCTTACCAGTGTCTGGAGAACTGTGGGGCTGTGCTCCTGACAGTTGTGAGGAAAGGCGGGGACATGTCCAAGACCATGTACGTCGACTACAAAACAGAAGATGGTTCCGCCAACGCGGGGGCTGACTACGAGTTCACAGAGGGCACCATAGTTCTGAAGCCAGGAGAGACCCAGAAGGAATTCTCTGTGGGGATCATTGATGACGACATTTTCGAGGAGGATGAACATTTCTTTGTGAGGCTGAGTAACGTCCGCGTGGAGGAAGAGCAGCCGGAGGAGGCCATGCCCCCAGCAATGCTCAGCAGTTTCTCCCTACCTCGGGCTGTCATCGTATCCCCTTTTGTGGCCACCGTCACCATCTTGGATGACGACCACGCAGGCATCTTCACATTTGAATGTGACACTATTCACATCAGTGAGAGTATTGGTGTTATGGAGGTGAAGGTTCTGCGGACCTCAGGTGCCCGGGGCACGGTCATCGTCCCTTTTAGGACGGTGGAAGGGACAGCCAAGGGTGGTGGTGAGGACTTTGAAGATACATTCGGGGAGTTGGAATTCAAGAATGATGAAACTGTGTAAGTAACTTCTCCTTGTTCTAACCCCCTCCTCCCTCACTTTCCATCTTCCTCTGTTGTCCCACACCACTCCTTAAAAGCCTTTGTATTCATGTTGTCACAACTTTGGTTCCGTCATAGGTATGCAAGATGAGCAGACTCTACGGGCAGATTTTGCTTTCAGACATTTTCCCCCTTCCTTTTCCTCACTTTAAATTGTTTCCAGGCAAGGAATTCTGTGGCAGGACCCCAAAGCATAAAATGTTTTGTTTAGCAAAACCCAAAATGACAGCTAGTGAAGGCATATAAAGTGGTGGGGTAAGCATGACAGAAGCCGTTTGGCACCAGATTTTGGAGAGTATTAGTGACTAAGCACAGCGTGGGAGACTGCTTGGGGACTCGACTGTCTGTCCTCTTCGCATGCTAAGGGCATACGTGAGCCCTGAAGTCAAACCCTACTCTTTCTGGAGAAGGGCTAGTCTAATCAGAAGAGGAGATCTTAAAAAAAAGGCAAATGCCACCCCCTCCCTCCTCCTGATACCATACTAATGAATTATACAACCAGATTTCAGGTACGTCTCCTTCAACTTGGAAACTTCAACATTGATTGCAATTCGGCAGTCTCTTTAAATGCCCATAGGCTATTTATGGCAAGAGACTTGTGCTGCCCATGGAGATGAGTCAAAATGACTGCGGTTCTGGAGATAACTTGGAGAAACAGAGATCCCAGGGCAGTGGCCATCTGTGTTTAGTCACAGTTCTGAACTCCAAGGTCTGGCTAACCAGGGAAGGAGAAGTTTCTTAGGGACTGTAGGATAGCCTGTGCCCTCAGTGTGGCTGGCTGGCTGCACATTCCTGGGTTCTCCTGAAGCAATCCCTCTCAAGTCACCCTCCCGTTTAGTCCTTTAGAAATTACGACTGTTGCATTTCTTTCACCAGTTGCCACCCTAGTGTCTCTGCCTACTGAATTGCCTTTCCTGATGGGGTGCTCTGTCAATTTCCAAGCTCTGGTAAAGAACGTAAGAGTGACTTAACTCCCGATTTTGCAGCTTATGCGTGACCTAATAGGACAGATTCTCTCTACCATGGTGGCCAAGGATGGAGATGAGAAAGAGAAACCTTGTCCTTGAATTCCTTGCTTATAATGGCACAAGCAGTAAGCAATTGCAGGAGGAGGTGTATAAAGAAATAAAGGGGACCCTGATGGCATAGTCGATAGCGAGTTGTGCTGATAAACCAAAGGCAGTGCTTCTCTGATGGTTCGAATCCACCAGCAGCTTTCTGAGAGGAAGATGGGCAGCTCCTCCCATGTACAGCCTCAGAAACTAATGGGGTGGGGAGGCAGCTATAAGGTGGCTCCAACTCAATGGCAGTGGGTTGAATGACAGTATAGGAAAGATCCCCGTGGGGTGCAAATGGGTTTGCACTTGACAACAAAGCTAAAAGTGATCAGGGAGAACTTCCCCAGCAATGGCTCAGAAGAAAGGCCTGGTGAACTGCTTGTGTCAAGATCATAGTCAGGAAAGCCCTCTGGGGACATTCATATGGGCCTGGGGCAGGGAGGTTGTCAAGAGTTAGAATTCATTCCATGGCAGTGGGTTTTATTTGGTTTTTGTACTATAGGAAGGGAGATGTCAGATTGTTCCAAGATGCTCGTAACAACACATTTCTGTGAGAAATGAAAACAAAACACCACTGAAAGCTTGAGGGGAGGAACTCCTGGAGAAAAGTGGCTGCAGAATGTAGGGAGAGGAATCCCAGAAGTATGTCTATCACATTCAGCCACAGGACAAAGGCCAAAGAAGGCTGGGCTCTGCTGTCAGTACAGAGCAGTGACCCAGAATCCACTGCTCTTGTCCTCCCTCAGCCTTCCTTCACCGTGTGACCTTGGGCAAACCATTCAGTGCCTCTGTGACCAAACCGTCTCATCTGCAAAGTGGGACTAATAATACTCTCCTTGCCTGGAGGCAGGGCCCTGTCTTTCACAGTTCCTGCCAGTTCAGAGATTTGTCTCAACCATAGATATAGGAGTTAGCTATCGGTCACAACTGCACTAACCAAAAAAAGGGTCAAGGATTTTATTTCTTGAAAGTGAAATAGCCATTGACAAATTGATTTATGAGGACTCTGTGTAGTCATTTTGCTGGGAAAGATAATAATTTGTTAGTGCAAATAAAAACTTGTGCCTTCTAGAGAATACTGACCATTTATATGTGCTCTAGAGAGAATGTTTATACATACAAATGAAGCCCTGGCTGGCTCTAGGAAATTTCACGGATGTTTACGGCAGTGTCAGTATTTAACAGGTTTATGGTCAGCTGTTAAATGGCATCAAGACTACAACGTTAGCTATAATTGGACAGATACATGGTTCCTCCAATCCAGTATCCTATCTACCAGGGTCATGGAAGAGTAGTTTTTGAGAAATCAGAACCTTGTTTCCCAAATGTCTCCTGCCATTAGTAATTGATTGTACACTTACACACTCAGAATATGCCTAAGCTTTTCTCAACTCCATTGGTGTTTTCAGTGTGAACAATACCTTGATGAAAATGAGCTTCAAGAATTCCTACTTCTGAGTGATACTGGTTCTATAAGTCGGTGAGCCACCAGAAGTTTGAGATTCCAAGATAGTCTAGGACCTTGAAGACTAGGTCTCAGTCCCCATCTGTCCCTTTGTATTGCGTTTTTAGACATCAGTGTATAGATCTACCTTTTTGGATTTCATCATTGCCGAAAAATGTCAGATAAGTGCTCGTCCAAACCTGAGTTAGAAGTCCTACGCTGGATACTTTAAATCTCAACTTTACAAGTAAAGGCAGAATGGTATAACAGAGAAACTGTGGGCTCTAACTAAATGGGATTAAAATTCTAACACAGCTGGTGACCTAAACTATGTGGTTTGAGGAAAATTTCTTAACCTATGAGATCATTTCCTCATGGGTAAAGTGGAGACAATAAGACCTCTCTTGCAGAGCTGGTAGGATAATTTGAAATACTGTATACCTCGTAGCTGATACATGGTATGTACTCAGTAAATGATGACCCTTATTAGTAATATTGATTAATTAACAATGTTCTTCTAAGACATACTTGAAGTGATCAGGTTATTGATGTTGCAAAGAGCACTCTCTGCTTGGCGCTAGCTAATGAGCATGGTAGTCGTTCTAATTACCATGGAGGGTCCCGACAGCCAGAAAAGACCTCAGACCACTTGCTAAAGGAGTGCTTCTCAGACTTTAGGGCCCAAATGCATCATCCAGGGATCTTGCTAAGATGCAGAATGTGATTCAAAAGGCCCATTGGAGATACTGATTTTCTGACAAGTTCCTGATGCTGCTAACCCAGACTTTGAGTAGAAAGACTCTAATAACTGGTTTTCCTCTTCTCTTTTTAAAATTGTGTCTTGAGTGAAATTTTAGAAAGCAAATTGGTTTTTCATTCAACCATTCATGCACACGTGAATTGTTTTAGAACATTAATGACAATATCCACAGCATAATCACTTTTCTACCTTCCTGCCTTCAGAGTTTTGTCAATAAATGCTGTCCTTTTCACCTGATATGGTTGGGCTAAGAACTGAGTGCGTCCCTGGTATAATTGGTCACCCTGGTGTTCTGTGGTCTTTTCATTTACTTGTTATGTGTTTGAGACCTGGACAGTTGATAAGGATGATAGAAGAAAAATTGATGTCTTTGAGTTGTGGTGTTGGAGAAGAGGACTGAACACCCCATGGCCTGCCAAAAGAAAAACAGATGTGTTTTGGGAAAAATGCAGCCACGGGGCTCGTTAGGGGCAAGGATGGTGAAGCTTCCTCTCACATACTTTGGGAATGTTGGTTGTTATGGGAGCCTTTTCCTTGGAAGGGACCTCATGCTTGGAAAGGTGGAGTGTCAGGGATGAAGAGGAGACTCGCCATGAGATGAACTGACACAATGACTGTGGCAATGGGCTCAAGTGTGATGATGATGATGAGAGTTGTACAGGATTCATAGGGTTGCTGTGAGTCATGTGCAACTTGACAGCACATACCATCATCAACATAGATCTGTCTATTGTTTGGACATACAGTCAACCCATATAGAGCTGAGTTTTATTGCAGGTTTGAAGGGTGATTAAGGGCCATAGTCTTGAGGAAGACTGTCGGTCTCTTTGGGATCAGTAAGCCTCGTCATTTTTGTATTTTTGAACTTGGTTCCATACTTCCTCCACTCCCTGCAAATTCCTCCACTAGGGCATGTTCACTACCAACTTTTATTAATAGCTGATATAGTTTACCCCAATTCCTAGCGACCTCATGCACAACAAAATTATTCTGGTCCTAGATCATTCCCCTGATTGGTTGCGTATTGAGTTGTTGAGATCCACAGGGTTCACTGGTTCAGTTTTGGAAGCAGCCTTTCATCCTAGTCTGACTTAGTCTGGAAGCGCCACTGAGACTTGTTCAGCATTTTGTTGTTGTTATGTGCAGTTGAGTCTTTTGCGACTCCTAGCGACCCTATGTTGTTATTGATTGTTTCGAGTCAAGCACAACTCATAGCGACCCTATGAACAAAAGGCCTTAAGCCCCTCTACAACTATCGACATTTAGCAAACTTCATAAAGTTTCTGAAGACATGTTGTTTAGGAAGTGGATGCCACTCCTGCTAAGCCAACCTTATTATCTCCAACACACCTACCCCTCTTACCCCAGTCACTGAGTCAATCCATCTCATCCAGGATCTTCCTCTCCTGTACTGTACCTTTCCAATCATGATGTCCCTCTCCAATGACTGGCCCCTCCTTGCAACATGCCCAAAGTATGTCACTTAGAGCTTCAGAATTTTCTTGCTAATGTACAAATCTCCACTGACAGACAATGGTGGCTGCACATGAGCTGTATTATCAAGGGAACCAGCCAGACCCGAGTCTTTCAAGTAGAAGGCAAGAATTATGCCACTAAACCACCAATGCCCTTGAAAATCTTTTTACTACTAGAAGTCTTTGAGTAGGCTCTGACTCATAGCACCCCTGGGTATAGC